TCATTTGTGTGTGTGTGTGTGTGTGTGTGTGTGTGTGTGTGTGTGTGTGTGTGAGTGCACTGGGAGTGCACTGGTTTGTGTGGTTTACGGGGACACAAATTTGTATAATGACATGGGTATGACAGAGGTATTACAATGTGAAGGTGGTTTATGAGGACACTGCCTATGTCCCCATAATTCAAAAGGTTTAAAAACACATGAATGGTGTTTTTTTGAATATCTAAAAAAAAACAAAGTTTCCTGTAAGGGGTAGGTTTAGGTGTAGGGTTGGTGTAGGGCGATAGAATATATAGTTTGTACAGTATAAAATCCATTACACCTATATCCCCATAAACCACCAATACCGACATGAGTGTGTGTGAAGAGGTGTGTCAGGCCTGATGTGAATTCTCTCACAGTGGGTTGTCTGTATAAAACACTTATTTGAGAAACAAACACAAAGTTTTAGGTTCTAGGTTAGTTGCTAAAACTGAATATTTCAATTATGCTTTTGAACAAAATGCTACACACTGGATACTACAGTTGAATAAGCAAAAAATAATTTCATATCATATGCACATGAATGCACCTCTTTAAATAAAAGAGAAAAACAACATCTAATATATGCACTTATTTCTGTATTACTAAGGACTGTGACATCTAAAAAGATTCTATTTTATGCTTTATAATCCTTTGGATTTGTTGTACAATGGAAATGTGTCTTTGAAAATAGCATGTAGACAGACACCATTAATAAATATTTTACATAAAAAGACTTTACGTAATTATTGAACATAAATAGACATATGGACATAATTAAAAACAATACTTAAAATAGTAAAATGACATCACAATAACTTGAGGATAATAACTGCCAATGCAACACTTTACAGTAAAGTTTAATTCATAGTTAATGTATTGGGTATCATGAACTTACAATGAACAATACTTCTACAGCAATTGTTATCTAGGTTAAAGGAATAGTTCGCCCAAAAATGAAAATTTACAAAAAAATGTTGTCACCCTCAGGCCAGCCAAGATGTAGATGAGTTTGTTTCTTCATCAGAATAGATTTGGAGAAATTTAACATTGCATCACTTGCTCATCAGTGGATCCTCTGCAGTGAATGGGTGCCGTCTGAATGAGAGTCCAAACATTATGGAATTTTGGGCATTAGAAAAATTCAGATGCCTACAGTTAATCAATGAACGTCTTGTGAAAAGCTGTATTTGTAAGAAACAAACATCAAGGTGTTTTAACAACACAATGCAAAAACACAATTTCTCTTGTAAACGGTGCTTGATCTGTAACTATTTCTCTCCTGATTTAGTCAAGACAAGCTTTTCACTGGAGACACCAATATTACAGATAGAGGACTTGTATTTTAGCTGGAAGCAACGGTTTTAAGTAAAAACATCTTGATGGATTTTATCCTACAGACATGCAGCTTTTCACTTCTTTAGATATTAATTGATGGACTGCAAGTCATTTGGCAGACTTCTGGGTCATTGTGATGTTTTTATCAGCTGTTTAGACTCTCATTCTGACGGCACCCATTCACTGCAGAGGACCCATTCGTGAGCAAATGACATAATGCTAAATTTCTCCAAATCTGTTCCAGTGAAGAAACAAACTCATCATATCTTAGATGGCCTTAGGGTGAGCAAATTTTCTTTTGGGGGGGGGTTGACTATTCCTTTAATGTTAATTTATAAAAATGCTATTATTCACTGTTAATTCATATTGCTTAATGATATATTAAATGATGTTAATTTATGTATTAATTTATATATAAACTTGAAATAGTACAAATGTACTATATAGAAATTGTATATAGAAATTAACATTAGCTGTTAGTTTCTGATTAACTAATGATAACAATGTAATCCTTTTATAGTAAAGTTCTGCCAGGATTTATATAATTTTGTTGTCCAGTGGAATTTTCCAACATAACCTTTTTTTTCCCCCTTCTTTTTTTGCCTTGGATTATTTCGGATGTAGTCAGTGTTGCTGTGAAAGTTACTGTCTATTATAGTGCAGAGATATTTAAAGCTGGTGACCTTCTTCACATCTTGTGCTGCCAGCTCAAGCGTAACTTTCTAATCATGGCTCCTTCGTCTTGGTGATATTAATGTGTAGGGAGCTGTAATCAAACCTGAAGACACGGCTGTCAACATACTGGAAATAGACTATTTACATCCTTCTAGCAAGCAACCAAAGCTGTATCATCAGCATACTTGAAAGGAGCAGGTCACTCTTGTTAAACTGCACTTGACTGCTATATATTAACATGATACAACAGGGGAGATGCAGCAGCACACATCCCTGAGGAGCGCCAGTCAGATGAGGTGCTGTTCATATGGACTTGCTGAAGCAGCACTTTGATGCAAAGTACTAGCCTGCTGTTCACATTTACATCATGTAGTAGGTACTTTGGGGTTGGACTGTATTAAAGGCAGAAGAGTTAGTTTTGTTCAAATGCTGTTGGACGTTATCCAGCATAGGTTAGCTTGATAAGCAAAATGTGCGATGTCCATAAATTCACCTTTACATATACTGTAGAGGCCCCATGCATTTAAGGAGAACTGATGTAACATTTAAAGATTTTGCACATGGAGTTCTGGGTACAGGGATGTAAGAGATGTCCTTCCAGGCCAGGGTTATAATGTTTCTAAAACATTCGAGTAAACACAGATCCCTGCTGTGCAGCACTCCTTTAAAACCTTCAGCACATCTCGATCCTATAACCTTCAAACCTAAGCTTTTAAAACTACTTTAAACCTCAGGCAAGGTCTGTCAAACCAATATTCAAAGTTCGTCTTGGAGGACTTGACTTTTTCCAGTTTAATAACTGGGATACACATCAGAAATGTCAGGAAAAATAAATGTTTCCTTATTTTATTTGTATTTATTTATTTTATTACAACTTGAATGCACATCAGAAATGTCAAAGGAAAAATAAATGTTTCCTAAATATTTATTTTATTTTAATTTTTCATTGTTATTCAATGCTTCAAGAACCAGGGGTATTACATTATTAACCACATTAGCCAACAGACAAAAAAGTTAATACAATTTTTAGTTTGTTCCAAAAGGTTTATGTTTAAGGCATTTATAAAATGGAAGAAATTAGTTTTTTCTTAGGCTATTTTTACTTTTTCATATGTATATGGAATTTTCCTAATAAAATAAATAATTGCATTGTGTTGTTCTTTATACCAAAATATCATTCTGGAAATTAAAAAGTCCATCAAGTAGCCTGCACACACTTTTTTTTTTGTCACTAAATCCTTGAGTAAATGCAGTGATAAATGCAAATTGGTTTCTTTTCATTTCCTATTTGGATAAATATCGTGTGAGGCACGTTTAATATGGATGGATGCACTTTATTGGACCTCTTTCGGACTGTAAAAAAAAAAGTCCGAAAGCTTAGAAGAGCCAGGACAATTTTTAATACAACTCCGATTGGATTCGTCTGAAGGAAGAAAGTCATATACACCTAGGGTGAGAAAAGCATGAGCTAATTTACATTTTTGGGTAAATTAACCCTTGAAGATTTGAGATTTGAATGCAGCTTAAAGCATAAGGTGTACAGTAGGCGGCGATAATACTCCACTTCTCTAACCGAAGTGAAACAACAAAGAAGAAGAGTAGGCAGACCCGTTCAATAATGACACAAGAGTCTCAGCCAGATGTACAGACTAGGGATGGGCGATACCACTTATTTTGTTTTCGATACAATACCAATATTTTTCAAGGCAGTATCATCGATATCGATACCGATACGATACTTCTGACCTAAACTTTTAAATGATGAAATTTATTAAATTATTAAATTGCTAAGAGTAAAATGGGTAATGATTACCACTTAACTTTGTTTAAAACACATTTTAACATTCGATATGCCTTAATTGTAATTTATTAGGTTATATTTTTGTTTATCGATACTTAGGATCGATATTACGCCCATCCCTAGTACAGACGACAACACCCATTAAAACGTCAGCAAATGTGTGTAGACTCGGTGATCAGAGTTTTAATCCATCCAGATGTAATAAATACAGATTGTTTCATGGACATAAACTTGCGAACAAAACGGATTATGCGGTCGTGTTGGAGGAATTTGTTGGCAAACTTCAGGACACGGCTCTGGCCATCTGCGGCTCTTGTAAAACAATGTTATTGAGGTACGATCACGTGTCCAAAGACGCAGAACGAATTCAATGCTCATTCAGGATATGTGGAAGAAGACCAGAGAGAAACGGCGTGCTACTTCAATTCCCACACTAGAAGTGAAGAGACGACGAGAAGTGATGGACAGCAGCAAATGATGATGATGATGATAAAAACACTGCATCCAGCTCACTACAGTTCACTGGGCTACGTTTACATGCAACCGAATAATCCATTTGTAATCGGATTGACGGCTCAATCGGACTGAAAACCCTTCATGTAAACACCTTAATCGATCTGATTGAGCTCGATCGGAATTAAATTTCGACGGGGAGGGGCATTTTTACTGTGTGATAAATATGAGCAGCACAGCACTCAAAATACAGCAAAACATTAAGGTCAGAATTAAACCGTGTTACTCAAGTAAAGCAAAAATGTTTATATATCTATTCAACTTGTTTTTCAATGTGGAAGTAGCCATTTCCTGTGAATTTTGTTACATTGTATATTTTTTAATTGGAGAAATTAATTTGACTCTGCTCAGTAATTTGCAAAAACATAGACTTACAAACCAACAAAAAATAACATGACATTTTGACATTACAAACCATGACAAAATTGTTTTTATAAAATTGTGGATCGAGATTAGGGCTGCACGATAAATCGAAATGGAATCGAGATCGCGATTCGACAGAAGCTGAATCGCATTCGATTAATCGTGCAGCCCTAACGAGATCTTAAATTTAAAAAAAATCGATGATATTTTAGCCGTATTGCTGACTCCTACATTGACGATTTATGTGCACCTCAAACCAATGTGTTAATGATTATGATAATAAATTAATATCATATGAAATAGTTTTCAGTATCAAGCAGCATGATGAACTGTTTTTGAACAGCTAAAATAAAGTGAAGCGCTCATTCAAGTTAAAAATGGCTGCAGACACACTTGCATTAAAAATAATGTGGATAGACTGTAGTGTAACCATTATATATTTGTCTAAAATGCATTTTTTTATCAGTTTCAGGCCCAGCACATAGAGAGGCAGATTAAGGAGGAGTTTGAGATACTTCACCAGTTTCTACGTGTTGAAGAGTCAGTAAGGATAACTAAACTGAGGAAGGAAGAACAGCAGAAGAGTGAGAGAGTGAATGAGAATATTGAGAAAATTAACACAGAGATTTCCTGTCTTTCAGACACTACCAGAGCTGTAGAGAACGAGATGAAAGTTGAAGATGCTTTATTCCTACAAGTATGAAGCATGTCCGTTTACGTACAGCAGATTCAACATACTGGAGACAAATGCTAAGAAGTTGTTTTTGAAAATGAACTTAAAGGTCCCATGACATGCTGCTTTTTGGATGCTTTTATATAGGCCTAAGTGGTCCCTAGTACTGTATCTGACCTCATAAAGTGAAATTTTCATGCCATGGGACCTTTAAGTGTTGTTCAATAATCTATATATATATTTTTACAGAACTATAATGCCACATTGAAAAGGTTTGTATCGTTTCTCCTCTGTTGTTCTGAACTCAGACCCACAGCATCACTGACTACTGAGTGTTTCTCCAGAGTTTCCCAGTGTAAAGCGCCAGATCCAGAGGACATTTCTGGAGTTCTGATCAATGTGCCAAAACACCTGAGCAACCTGAAGTTTACTGTGTTACAGAAGATGCAGACAACTGTTGATTACAGTGAGTAAAGCACACAATGAGTTCATCTCCATCGTAAGAGTCATTTATTTTATTTCATGTTCATGTGTCTCTCTCTTCAGCTCCTGTGACCTTTCACCCCAACACTGCTCACTGTAATCTCATCCTGTCTGAGGATCTGACCAGTGTGAGATACAGCGATGAGGAACAGACTCTTCCTGAGAATCCAGAGAGATTCGACATGTTTGCGTGTGTTCTGGGCTCAGAGGGCTTTGACTCTGGCTCTCACTGCTGGGACGTTGAGGTCGGAGACAGTACAGGCTGGTTCCTCGGAGTGATGACCGAATCTGCTCAGAGGAGGAATAAAATATTCTCAAGGAGTGGAATCTGGCTGGTGGGTCATTTCTGTGGTGAATATAAAGCACACGAACCACCACAATCACCAGCTCTCCTCCCGGTGACAGAGAAACTGCAGAGGATCAGAGTTCAGCTGGACTGGGACAGTGGAAAGCTGTCGTTCTCTGACCCTCTTACTGACACTCATATACACTCTTTTACACACACGTTCACTGAAAGATTATTCCCATTCTTCGGTGTTGGCTGTAACATTTCTCACTTGGTTATTTATCTTACCAGTATGGTCAGTTTGCTAAAATTGTGCAGTCTTCTGTCAGCTCTTATTCTGGTGTTCCTCACGTAGGAGTCACACTTGTGACTTCTGTGGTCATATTAGAAGACAATAAACATTGCAATTTTTAATGAAAGAAATGTGCTATACTTTGTTTCTATCATATTTATTCTTAAATATTGTGTATTTTGAGAGGATTTTCATGGTACTATACAATATTTGCCTCTGAATTACCAGTAACTTCTATATAAATAATACAAATACTAGAACATATATTTCATATTATTTTAAATTAATACAGTGTTTAGGTAAAAACAAATAAAAATAAATAATAATAATAAAACGGAATGAATGTCCGGCAGATTTGTGCCCTCTAGTGAAATAAAGAAAATCATATAATTGGCATAACACCTGTACTGTATAGCTCTAGAGCTGTGTATTCCCTGGTTTTCAGATGTAATGACTTGCATAAGGTTTCCATTTGGATATATATTTAGACATTAACATACTACTTTATCATGGCTGATTTGTAGATTGTATCTCAAAAAAATACTTTTTATTTTCAACAACAAAGCGAAGATCTAAGTGACTATACAAGTGTGATTATTTTAAGACAATTTAGCCTTCTAAACATGTCCACGTTTTTGTGTGTTCATATTGCAAGTGCCACAAAAGTCATCAACCTCCATACCATTGTGATGAAGTAAAAAAAAATTGAAACAAAATCCAAACACCAGATGAGAAGAGGATGGGCCAGTTAAACTACTACCAAAGACCATCTCTGCTACACTCTCTGATACTGGTTTGTAATATACTGGTTTTGGACGCAGTTCATGAAGTAATTACTTTGTGATTGTGTATTTTTCATTTTCAGGGCTTAAGTGGAAAAAAATACGTTCAATAAACATTGAATTTGCTGCCTCCAGTTCCTTATCTTGTTTGTTATTTAAGTTGGATCACTGTTGATTACATTATTAAATTCTGTTCTTGAAATGTCTTACAACAAACTTGTATGATTAGTTATTGGACACTTTTAAAATGATACCGTAAACTTTTAGACGATCATTTATGGCTATTTAGAACAGAACCATCATCCTACGCTTTGCTGTTGTTTCTTTGGACGACCTTCCAGGCACCGCCCACCGTGCATTAGATTAACAAGTGACCAACCACAGCTGGTCTTTTTTCTTAACGCGATCCGATGATGTTTCAAACAGTGCCCGCGCCATTTTGGTAGGCAACGCAGAGCTCAGAGCAAGAGTAATACAGTTTAAGATTTTATAGTGCAATGGTAATAACTTGTGCTGTGAGGGGTTGTCGTAGTCACTCGTCAAATGGTGTCAAAGTGGGCTTTTTTAGAATACCGCGAGTGAGAACACGCGAAGGAGAGGAAACTAGAGCACTTTGTGACAGAAGACGGGCTACATGGCTAGCCAGAATAAACAGGAGTAACGGGAAGATCTCAGACGGCTGCAGTGTGTTCGGATCACTTCGTCCAAGGTAAACAAACACAGCACGTGGAAAGTAGTTTTTCTTATTATGCTTGCGTAAAAATAATTTAGCTTAAGTTTATGTCAGCTGCAGATTGTATTGTTTTCGTTCGTGCTCTTCTGTACTTTATTTATATGGTTAGCATGCTTTCTTGCTGTCATACCTTCAAAAAAATGTTTGGATAGTCTAGCCCCTTTTTATTACAAAATATATATGTAAGGATTGTCACAGTCTACGTATTACGTTTATTTTAGGTAGACCAAGTTACCTTCATGATGAAAAAAATCCTGACTGGGCACCGTCACTTAAGTTGGAAGTAAAAGATGCTCACAGCCAAACAAACTTAAGCAGATATCAGAGAGCCAAAAAAAAGACCAGCTTTAGGAAATAGGAGAAAAGATGAGAAAGCTGCAGTGAAACAATGCCCTGAACAGCCATGTATTAGCACAGAGGAGAGTGAGGTGAAGGCAAGAGCTACATGTGATTCAGTGTCCTGCAAAAGTGAATTCCAGAGAGCAACATGTGATGCCAACACTGATTCTGCATTATTAATATCCACAGACAGCACTGAAACTAAGGTGAGTTCATTCATTATCTGATCTGGCCACAAGGTATTATCTCCAGTAATACATGACATAAAAATTAGGTTAAAGAAAAGTTTATATCTAGTGTTTATATTAAGCTAGTTTCTTTTAGGAGAGCCTCAAAGCTCAAATAAAAGCCTTACGGGAGAAGTTGAGAATCTCACAGGAGTTTCAACAAACCTTGCATCAAACTGCAGAACGCATTAAGGTCAGAATTTAATCATGTGGTTTTAGGCCTTACAACAATAATACTTTGAAAATATATATTGACATATCCACCTTATTTTATTTTTTTTATTTTTTTTTTTTAAGGCAGAAGTAAACTATTTCCTGTGAATGTGTGAAACTTCAGATTCATTAGCCACTATGGGTAAATAACTAGAAGGATAACAAAATCCAGTACCTGGTAAAACTATTTGATCAGTGCGTTTATGATTATGATGATCAATTAAAAATAATATAAAAATAAATGGCAGTTTGAAACATCAAGCAAAGTAACAGACTGTATTTGTACAGCTAAAATAACTGAAAGTGACTGACGCAGGAAGCCTTGCACATTTTAATTAAAAAGACTTTGCACAAACTTCGTTTACCCATTTTGTCTTTCTTGGAAACGTCTTAGATTGCAGATTCAGGCTAAATGCACAGAAAAGCAGATTAAGGAGAATTTTGTCAAACTTTACCAGTTGTTATCTAATGAAGAGGCAGCGAGGAAGAAGAGCAAAAGAGCCAGATACTAAGGAAGAAGATTGAGAAGATGAGCAAAGAGATGTCATCTCTTTCTGCCACAATCACAGCTGTAGAGGAGGAGATGAAAGCTGAAGATGCTTTACTCCTGCAAGTATGAAGCATGTGTTTTTTATAGAAATTACAGCATCTTCATTATAATGGAGATTAATGCAAATATGTCATTTTCAAAATTCTAATTTAGTTTAGCTGCATAACCTGCATTTCCTTTACCCTTTTTTGTAGAACTATGGTGCCACTTTGAAAAGGTTTGTATCGTTTCTCCTCTGTTGTTCTGAACTCAGACCCACAGCATCACTGACTACTGAGTGTTTCTCCAGAGTTTCCCAGTGTAAAGCGCCAGATCCAGAGGACATTTCTGGAGTTCTGATCAATGTGCCAAAACACCTGAGCAACCTGAAGTTTACTGTGTTACAGAAGATGCAGACAACTGTTGATTACAGTGAGTAAAGCACACAATGAGTTCATCTCCATCGTAAGAGTCATTTATTTTATTTCATGTTCGTGTGTCTCTCTCTTCAGCTCCTGTGACCTTTGACCCCAACACTGCTCACTGTAATCTCATCCTGTCTGAGGATCTGACCAGTGTGAGATACTCATGAACCACCACAATCACCAGCTCTCCTCCCAGTGAAAGAGAAACTGCAGAGGATCAGAGTTCAGCTGGACTGGGACAGTGGAAAGCTGTTGTTCTCTGACCCTCTTACTGACACTCATATACACTCTTTTACACACACGTTCACTGAAAGATTATTCCCATTTTTTGGTGTTGGCTGTGACATTTCTCCTTTGCTCATCCTACCTGTAAAAATGACTGTAATAGAGTCCAATTAATGGTAAAATTGTTTGTCTATAAACATGAATTGATGTACATTTCCATTTTCAATAACTTATAATAAATATAGAATAGATTTGTTTTGGTTGCATTTTTTGCAGTTATTTCCTAATTTTGACTTGTTTTATTCAAACCTTTCTTTCATTCAAGTGGCAAAGATGTGAGAATGGACTGTATGTGCAGTGAATACAAGAAGCATTCATTTCAATATTCATCTTCTTGCTGAGAAAAACATGTATGTATGTAGTTTAATATTAACATCCTAAGATTAATATCCACATTATCACTATGGCATGACAGTAACATTTAATATTTTTACCTAATCCACATAAACTAGTCAGAGAGTTTTAAGATGGTGTAATTTTCAAATGTCTTAAAATATGAAAAACATTTTTTTTTTCTTGAAATAAACTATAACAAAACTTTTTATTTCAAATAGTTTCCAAAGCAACATTTCTAATAACTAAAACGGAACTGTATGTGTGTATATAGATATATTTAAAACAAACGTACTACACATATGTAGTACATACTACTACAAATGACAAAAAAAATTTAATTATGAAATGATAACGGAATATATAAATATAAAAACTTAAAATATTAATCAAAACTAATAGTATCTCAAATGATAACACGGACAAAGCTTTGTCATTTGTTTATTTAGTTGGTTATTGTGTTTAAAAAATATATCTAAACTTCAATTCCTATAGCAATTTCAGTAAGCATTCTGAATGCGAAAGGATATATAAAATCGCTGAGGGACAGAAAGAAAAGGGTATAACTGCAGCTTGGAGATCTCCAAATGGAGGCGGGAACTCCAAAATGGGGCGTGGCTTCCTCCCATTGGCAGACAGGCACATGAAGCGCATGCGCAATTTTTTTCCCCAATCCACTTCAGTGCAAACTCCGCCCCACAGCTGATTCTAAAGATTTTATTGGTTGTGTCAATTAAAGTGTTGATTTCCTACACCATGCTATAAAAAAATGCTAACCCCTAAACCTACCCCACACCTGACCCTAACCTTAACCAGCTAAATTGACTGCACGGCGGGATTGGTGCTGAATAACGTGGTAAAGAAAGATGCAGTTCAGGAGATAAACAGTTAATAAGATTATGCGTTATGAGATCGTTCCGTAACTCCCCAACCGGACCTCACCGGACAATGGCACCTTTTTAGTTACACCCAGCGTCACTACCCCCTCCTACCCTGCGAATCTCGAGCCCCGGGACGCCCCCGTTGCTTGGAACAAAGCGATAGAGTGAAATCTTTGCGCTGGCAGCTGGGACGGCTCGCGGGAGAGCTCGTGGGTGATTCGCGTTTATACCACGAAGCAGATGTTCAAACTCCAGTCCGAACACCACTGGCCAAGAGCTTTGGGCTCTGCTCTCACGGAGCATATTTATTTATATAGCATATTTTATTTTAGATGAACTAGAAACAATGTTTAATTTATAAAGTTTTATTTTGAAATGTAAGTCAATAACAATTGGCTGGAGCCAAAGCCAATGGTCAAAGTCTTTGCGAGAGGAGACCCCGCCCCATTTTGGAGGTTCTGCCCACTTTTGGAGTTCACGCCCCATTTTGGAGATCTCCGGTCTGCAGTTATACCATGATTTATACCTACTTGGAGAGAAAAGCACCGCATGCGCACTGTTCTCATACTGGCCAAGAACCGCCCACTTAGACCGGAAGAAATCACGTGACTGACATGTAATGTGACCAATCACAGTTCGCTGTTTAAACTACAGTTCGTTTTTAGGGGCGGGTAAATCTGAAATCGATGATGATAATAATAATGGCACAGGAGTCTCCGCAAAACGTTGTACAGACCAAGCCGAAGAAAGTGGAAAATGACTGTTTGCTCTGTGGTAGGGAATTCTATCCATCCAAATGTAACAAGCACCGACTGTTTCACGGACACAAGTCTGAAAACAAAGCGGATTATGCGGTCGTGTTGGAGGAATTAGTTGGCAAACTTCAGGGCACGACTCTGGCCATCTGCAGCATATGCAGAACTCTGTTGCTGAGGTACGATCGCGTGTCCAAAGACGCAGAACGAATAAAATGGCTTATTAAAGATACGTGGAGGAAGATGAGAGAGAAACGATGTGCGGAGTCAACGCCTTCAATGGAGGTGAAGAGACGACGAGAAGTGATGGACACAGCAGCAAATGATGATGATAAAAACACTACATCCAGCTCACTACAGTTCACCGACAGCGCTGCAGCTAAGGCCAGTCAGCTCTTTATTTGAGATCCAATTTCCATTGGATTTAAGCGGTTGATCAGAATGTAATGTACCTTAGTAACCAGGTGGAAGAAAGCGTGATGGAATACATACTAAATGTAGTATAACTGTATTAAAACGTGCAAAAAATCATCTGAAAGAAGTACATGTTTAATTTATTAGATGGACAGGAGCTGGTAACAGGTAATGTTTATGTTAACCCATTCTGTTGATTTATTCCAGGAGAAACTGAAAACTGCACTGAAACCATTGCAGGTGAAGTTGAGAATATTTCAGGAGTTTCAAAAGACTTCGCTTCAAACCGCAGAACATATTAAAGTAAGGAGTTATTAAAGTTTAAAAGCAATGAAGCACTCTTGCATTGTAAAATGTGTGTGTATACTGTATGTTTATGTGTATATAGAATATAGACATACATTAGTTTTCAGTTTCAGGCTCAATACACCGAGGGGCGGATCAAGGAGGAGTTTGTGAAGCTTCGCCAAAGTTTGTGTAACAAAGAAGCAGCCCGGAAAAAAGCACTGAGGGAGGAAGAAGAGCAAAAGAGCCAGATACTGAGGAAGAAGATTGAGAAGATGAGCAAAGAGATGTCATCTCTTTCTGCCACAATCACAGCTGTAGAGGAGGAGATGAAAGCTGAAGATGCTTTACTCCTGCAGGTATGAAGTATTTTTTGTATTGTTTTATTTTAATATATAGAAATTACACCATTTTCATTTTAATAGAGCTGAATGCAAATTTATTATTTTCAAGAATTCTAATTTAGTCTTCTTGCATATCTTGCATTTCTTTTTTTTTGTAGAACTATGGTGCCACTTTGAAAAGGTTTGTATCGTTTCTCCTCTGTTGTTCTGAACTCAGACCCACAGCATCACTGACTACTGAGTGTTTCTCCAGAGTTTCCCAGTGTAAAGCGCCAGATCCAGAGGACATTTCTGGAGTTCTGATCAATGTGCCAAAACACCTGAGCAACCTGAAGTTTACTGTGTTACAGAAGATGCAGACAACTGTTGATTACAGTGAGTAAAGCACACAATGAGTTCATCTCCATCGTAAGAGTCATTTATTTTATTTCATGTTCGTGTGTCTCTCTCTTCAGCTCCTGTGACCTTTGACCCCAACACTGCTCACTGTAATCTCATCCTGTCTGAGGATCTGACCAGTGTGAGATACAGCGATGAGGAACAGACTCTTCCTGAGAATCCAGAGAGATTCGACATGTTTGCGTGTGTTCTGGGCTCAGAGGGCTTTGACTCTGGCTCTCACTGCTGGGACGTTGAGGTCGGAGACAGTACAGGCTGGTTCCTCGGAGTGATGACCGAATCTGCTCAGAGGAGGAATAAAATATTCTCAAGGAGTGGAATCTGGCTGGTGGGTCATTTCTGTGGTGAATATAAAGCACACGAACCACCACAATCACCAGCTCTCCTCCCAGTGAAAGAGAAACTGCAGAGGATCAGAGTTCAGCTGGACTGGGACAGTGGAAAGCTGTCGTTCTCTGACCCTCTTACTGACACTCATATACACTCTTTTACACACACGTTCACTGAAAGATTATTCCCATTCTTCGGTGTTGGCTGTGACATTTCTCCTCTTCTCATCTTACCTGTAAATTCCTCAGTAAAAAAAGATTCGCCATAGATCAAGATATTAATCTTGATTTAAAAGATGTCTTCATTTAATAATCTTTGACTCTGTTGCTGATGTTTAGACATATATAATAAATAAAGAAATAAAACATGATTATTGACGAAATAATGCTGAGTCTATTAAAAGGCATGTACATATTTAAAGGAATAAATACCCAAAAATGAAAATTGTCATAATTTTCTCACCCTCGAATTGTTCCAAACCTGTAAGAATTTCTTTCTTCTGCTGAACACAAAAGAAAATATTTTGAAGAATGTGGATAACCTAACAGCTGCTAGTCTCCATTGACTTTAATAATCCACAGAGATTAAATTTGACCTCCGATTAGATTATGACAACAACAGGTTTTTGGAACCTTTTGATCAGTGATTGAATTCTATTTACAATTTTTTATTCAATTGCTCTCACAGCAGTGTTGTTATTGGCAACTAAAACTATTAAAAACCTTAATTACCACTTTTGGTAATTAAGCTGAAGTACAATAAACATTTTAGATGTAAACGTTGAAAAAAAAAATTAGAAATGTTGCCATGGCCATTTATTAAAATGTTCTTAAATTAAAATATGTACTTAAATTTCTAAAACAGAAATAAAAATAAATTAAGGCTATTTAGAAATGTTAAAAACTAATAATTATAACAAGCTCATAAAATTAAAATGAAAACTGAACATGCAAAAGCTTATTTAAAAGATGAATAAATAATATAATTATACATAAATAATAATAAAATAACATTGTTTTACATAGTGTACAATTTCTAGGTAAAACAATTAAACCTTTTAAAACTTTTTAATGTTTATTTTATTTATCCAGACTTTTAATGACTGGGAACTCATAATCAACACCATTTGAATTACAAATTGTATTTAATTTGCATTTTCAGAATTACAATTACTTTAGCATGTTAATCAGTGATTATGGAAATGGTAGTTTCAAACTATTACATGTAACACGTTACACATGAAAGTCCATCTCCTTGGTCTTGCTGCCACAAAGTTTTTTTTCCCTCCTCTGTCTTTTCATCTCTTCCCACTATCAAACTCACTTTGTCTCAGTGGAGATCTGCAGTAGAGGCGTGCTGATCTCGCT